GTCTCGCCAGCCGCCCGCGGCCCCTCAGCTCCTCGCACCGGCCCACTTGCCTCCTTTCCCAAACTTGGTGTTCTCTTGGCCCAGTGCCCACCTGGCCCCTCGCGTCCTCCTCAGGCCCCTCCCGGGGCACCCTCTGCTTGCCCACCCGCACGCGGGGCAGTTCCCAGGGCTCGGCCACAGGCCTCCTGCTGCGACCTGCTGGCAGCGGTGGCGGTTACTGATGTCCTCTCAGCCCTTAAACTCCTTGACCAGCTAGGCCCCCACCAGCCCCACTGGACAGAAGCAGAGAAGAGGCAGGGCTGGGAGCCGCACGCAGGCGCCTTCGCGGCACCTGTCCCGCCCCCCAGCCCGCTTCTCAGGCCCCAGCAGCACCTGCCCCGCCTCCCGAGCATCTGCCAGCAAAGCCCGCGGGCACCTGGAACGCAGCGCATCCGCACCCACCTAATGCCTGTGCCCCGTGTCCCCATCTCAACTGAGACGCTGACACAGCCGCCACCCCCTCCACAGCACCCGCTCCTGAACCCTCGCCAGGCACCATGCATTCTAACTCCCGCCTCTGCCGTCTACGCCGTCCCTCCCTTCCCAGCGCCTGCCCGGGCAGCAGCCCATCTGCCCAGGACCCCAGACTCAGCCTAAACCTCCACTGTGGCCCCATCACCCCGCCTAGAGCCCTCAGCCTGCTGCCCACACCGGCCCTTCTGCCTCCACCGCCCCTGCCTACTGGGAGCCACCCCCCCACCCCAAGAACCCTCTGGGTGACCTCCTCTGTGAGCCAAGCACCCTGCACGTTAGCTGTGTACCTGTGGCCCCAACTGGAGCCCTGGGGAGAGGCGGGTCTGTGTCTGATTAGACCGCCTGGGCTACATTCCAGAAACTGCTCAGCTGGAAGTGGGTCTTTGGTATCCCCTTCTCCAGGTGAGGAAACTGAAGCCCGGAGAGCCTTGCCTGAGGTCACTGATTCAGGGAGGGTGGAGCCAGCGTTCAACTTCACACCCCGAGGGACCCAGCCCGCCGCCCCAGAATCGTGCCTGTAAAACGCCAGCCTGGCTTCACTGCTGTCCAGTCACAGCGTGAGGAGCCACGGCTACTGAGTCCGAGACACGTGCCACGTGCCGAAATGGGCTTTCTTCACACGTTCTGTCAGTGGATCCTCACAACCATCAAACCCAGAGGGGACTCGGCAGAGCGCCCCCCGCAGGGCCCAGCCCCACAGCCTCACTGAATCTGCTCTTTCCGACACACCGCTCCCAAGACCCGGCCACCGGCTAAAGCCAGCCGAGCCCACCTCACGGCGCAGTTGACACGACGCACCTCGAAGCAACTTCCACGTACAGCGTCCAGGCGGCCGTGGCGCCGGCTCACACCTACCTTCCATGGGACACGCGAAGGGCTTGGTGCCCAGGTGGGTGACGCTGTGGCCCTTGAGGTGCTCGGCCCTGGTGAACGACTTCCCGCAGCCCTCGACGGGGCAGGGAAAGCGGCGGTCCTCGTCGTGCTTCCTGCGGGACAGAGAGCAACGGGCAGTGACCACTCACAGCCAGAGCGTTCCGTTCAGGAGGAGCAGCCTCCCCGAGACCCTCGTGAAGCCACGTCCCCCGCTCAGCAACCCCGCTCCTACACAGGCTGTCCACACCGCAGGAGACATCACCTCACGTACACACAGTCTTTCTCTAAGTAGACACCTCAGATCCCAACTGTGCAAGTACAGACAAACCAACCAACCAATCTCTCTGGCTCCCAGTGCAAAACAGGAGAACAAGGGGCTGCCCTGGTGGTACAGCGGTTAAGAATCTGCCTGCCGATACAGGGGACATGGGTTCGATCCCTGGTCTGGGAAGATCCCACGTGCCGCAGAGCAACTAAGCCCATGCGCCACAGCTACTGAGCCTGTGTTCTAGAGCCCGCGAGCCACAACTACTGAGCCCACGGGCTGCAACTACTGAAGCCTGCGCACGTAGAGCCCGTGCTCTGCAACAAGAGAAGCCACCACAAAGAGAAGGCCACGCACCACAATGAGAAGCCCCAGCTTGCCGCAACTAGAGAAAGCCTGTGTGCAGCAACGAAGACCCAACGCAGCCAAAGATAAAAATAAATAAAAATAAATAAATGTATAAAACAAAACGAAACAAAAACAGGAGAACAAGAGCTTCAGTGTCACAGCTGCTGAGAGGCCAAACAAGGGACACAGGCCAGGCGCCGAGTGTCACCTGCACAGAGGGCCCAGTCCTCCAAGGCGTCAACACCGCCGCGGGAAGTTTGTAAAGACACGACGCAGGCTTAGTCTATAACCTTAATTTTTTTTAAATATCGAATTGCATATTAACTATACCAGTTAAACTTAAAAACAAGTACACACAGAAAAACTGACTTTGGGGGATCAGATTCTGTGTGGTTTTCTTCTTAAAAGGTTTCTGAATTTTCCAAGTTATCCACGTTGGTTTTTTTTTTTATAACTTAAAAAAATCCAAAGATTATTCCACCCACAGGCTTCTACTACTAACAAACAACTCACCTGTTTTCAAAACTGATAATTCAACCAAAATGTAAAGATTACCTTTTGTGCCTCAGGAGTTTAGACATGCTGGTGAAGGTCCAGCCACAACTGTCAGAATCACAGATAAACGGTCTTTCGCCTTAGAAAGGAAAAAAAAAAAAAAATCACACCACGTGATTACAAACATGAGCTGCGCCGACGGCAGATGGGGTCCAGATGCCCCCGGCTTGTTACCTGTATGGCTTCTCAGGTGGATTTTCAGACGACAGGCTTTGTCATACTGTTTGCTGCATCCAGGGAAGGAGCAAGAAAAGAGTTCCTGTTCCCTGAAGTGGGCCCGGTTATGGGAGAACAGAGCGCTCACTGTGATGAACGTCTTCTCACAGCCTGAACAGAGAAAACACAAACCCTGCTCACTGGCGTGACAAAAATCACACAACACAGCTAAACCAGTCACCACCCCAGGGCGCTGCGTGCACTGGGGCAGATGCAGAGGAGGACGACTAAGGAGCATCTCCAGACAGTGAAAACCTTTGCAGCGAAAGTAGGGGTGGCTCAGGGCAGCCCACGGGTGCACAGAGGCCACCTGTCCCCATGTGACCGGGAGACACAGCACCAGATCAAGAGAAAGTCCTCCAGCACAGCCGTGCCCCCAGTTCTGTAGCTGAGACCCTGTGGACATGGCGGGAACTCAACTGCCCAGGTCGCCCATGTGACACCATAAACCCAACGGGAGAAATCAGAGACCAAGGAACAAGATTCCGCCTGGTCGGGCTGAGCTTGGAAGGGCTGCAAACGACTGCAGTAACACCTGGGACTTTTTCACCTGTGGGAGTGAGGCCGCATGCCCCACCCTCGTAAACGTCCCCCGGACGTCCTCGGCGGCTGGCAGCCCGGCCTCTGGCAACGCGCTTCTCTCCCCCTTTGGTCCATTTCCTCGGGGTTCCCTGCTCTGTGAAGGGTCACTGGGGTCATCTTTGCTCCCATGGCCTTTTTCCACCACCTGCATCAACCCCAGCTGAGCCACCAGGCTTTGCACATCACTAGTTCTCCTCTGACAGGAAGGTTCAGAGCTCCAACAGGGCAGAAAACACGAGGCTACGAGAGGCTTACCGGGAGTCTCCACTGCAGCGCCTCTCAGAGCCTTCACGGTGCTGCCAGGTGCGCACGGCGCTCTGCAGGACAGCCCAGGGAAGCCCACTTTTCACAGCGACACTTAACTGGGAAACGCTGATCTTCCTAAATGCCTTACAAGCCTCCTCTCGGGCATAAATCTGTGTATGCCCAGCAGCCCCAGCCATTCCTTACTTCGGGCCTTGGTGTCTTCTCACCCTCCGTCAGGGAGGTCTGAACAGGCTGAGTCAGTCTCTGCCTCAGCAAGAAACACCCTCCCCCAACCGACAGTCAAGCCTCCTGACCCAGCTCTGCAATCCTTCCCACTGGAGCCTCCTCAGCGCCCCACTGCGTCTACCTGGGTCACCCCTCAGGACCCTCCGGTCTGGAACATTCACGCAGCTTCACTGGCCCCTCTCCGGCTCCCGCCCACCTCAAACAAACACCCCGCGTACCATTCACCTCAAAACCCCAGGGGGACCCCGTGCCCAGAAGCAGGCTGGACCCCTGATCCTCCTGGTGCTATGCTCAGAAGGATGCCCCTGAGCTTTTTACTAGAGAGCGGTCCGCAGACCGCCGCCAGATTCCGAATGCAGGACCAAGCATTCGGGACCAGTTGGCCTACAGCCATGCTCTCCACAGAGACGGGCTGCACAGGACAGGCCAGGGCACGTGGGAAGAAAACACGGGAACCTGGTAACATGTGAATTGTCTTCTGCCCTTTCAAAATCCCACATGTGAGTGCACTTCATGACATACATTCTAAGGAGCGCACTCCGCGTCCATGACGCATCAGCAGGGTCGCCGGGCACACACTCGCGCTTCTCTTTTAAGGAAGGGCACCTGGGAGGCCCTCGGGCACCCTGCCCCCAGCCCGCCCTACCGCCCCCATTCCCTGCCTTGGCTCTGCAGCGTGGCCCCGGCACCGCAGCCCCTCCTTCCCAGGCGGGAACCTTCTCTCATGCAGACACAAACTCCCCCCGAGAGCAGCTAGAGCTGCCTATCCCGGTGGAGAGTTCAGGGCCCTCACAGCGGAGAAAGACCCCTCCGCCCACAGCATCCACCTACCCAGAGTCTCTCCGTCTGAAGATAAGGACGACTTTCAGAACTTTACGCAACTGTGAAGCCCGAAAGAAACAACGCTTTCAACGGCACAATAGTGGATGCACCGCAACCCCGCGATCATCCCCTCGGCGCCTTAAGGCGTCGCCTGGGCCGCGTGGCCCTGCGTCCCTGCAGCCCGGGGCACGCGCCTACACGCCGGACGGAGCTTTTCTAAGTGACGAGACCTGCCTCAAACTCCCGTCTCCGTGAACACGCCTGGTGGCCTCGCTCACCGGAAGCCGCCGGGGAAGGGCGCCGAGATTCTCCGAGCTGCTGCCCAAGCCTCGTAGCCAGGCGGGGTTCGGGAGCCACCGCGACCCCGAGCGGGAGAAGAGACGCCGCGCGGCGCGGCCCGCCCCGCCCCGCCCCGCCGGCGCCGCTCACCGGGAAAGTCGCACTTGTAGGGCCGCTCGGGCTCGAAGTGGCTGCGCTGGTGCGAGCTAAGCTTGGCGTGCGTGGGGAAGCGCTCGGCGCACACCTCGCACTTGAACAGGCTCTCCTGCTCGTGGCCCTTCATGTGCGCCCTGAGGTTGTAAACGGTGGTAAACTTCTTGCCGCAGCCGCCCACCGGGCAGCCGAAAGGCCGCAGCTTATCATGCGACTGCAAGTGCCGCTTGAGCTTGTACGACGTGGTGAAGGCCCAGCCACAGCCGTCCAGCGGGCACTTGAAGGGCCGCCGGCCCTGGCCGCCGCCGTGCGTCAGCAGGTGCACCTGGAGCTGGTGCTTCTTGGCGAAGGCAAGCGCGCACTGCGGCTCGGGGCAGCGGTACCCGG